AACGGATGTAGTAACTATTTTAAGTAAGACAATGTTGAATATAAAGACTAATAATGACTTTCAAAGGTGTTAAGATTTCTAATGAAATGACAATGACCGGACTTAACGAATTTCCTTGTTTGTCCACATTCAAACGGATGCAGAGAATATTTGAGCCGCGTCACGACAAAACCAACATAGTGGGTTTGCGACCAGCATGGATCCAGACCAGCCTGCGCATCCGCGCAGTCTGATCAGGATCCATGCTGTTCACTTACCAACTCTATTACAAATAGAGAAACTGATAGCGAACAGCATGGATCCTAATCAGACTGCGCGAATGCGCAGGCTGGTCTGGATCCATACTGGTCGCAAACGCACTATATTGGTTTTGTCATGGTACGGCTCAAATATATTTATTAAGGGCTGCTTATGACATCACAAGTGTTAAGAATGTCTAAGTTGAAAATGACCGGATTTACGAATTTCCTTGTTTTTCCACATTCTAACGGATGTAGTGACTGTTTTAAGTAAAGAAGTGTTACTTTAACCAATGACCTTTCAAAAACGAGATTTAAAAAGTGTAAAAATTTCAGAGGTGGCAATCCCGGCTTTAACAGGATTTCCTTGTTCGTTAATCTCCATAACGGGTTCATTTTTTTTCAAAGATTGCATTAAACGTAAACATTGTCAAATAAGGGGACTGAAAATGACCCTTGCACATGAAGGTTTAGTATTGCATATAGGTCTAAATGTCATTTCAACTCTGATTTGAAATTACTGCGATATATCATAAAGATATAGGCAGCTTACGGTCTCGACTTTGATGGAGTTTTTTTTAAACACATATTAACTCTATTTTTAGCATGACATTGAACATCAATAACAAGATGCAACATATGTTAATAATTGTTTTACATATGTTAATAGTTATTTTGTGATCTGCTTTTTGTTTCAAAATACCACATAATGTTGTATGTGATCATATATTTACATTATGTAAAACTTTACATTCCATTCCATTCCTTTCCTTCTCATCACTTTTCCTTTTATTTCCTCCTTTCCTTTCTTTTCCATTTCTAAACCTTACTATATAACTTTCCTGTTCTTTACTTTCCTCTCCTCTCTTTCAATTTACTTTCCTTTATTTTTCCTTTTGAATTAACTTTCCTTTACTTTTACTTTACTTTTTAAAAAAAAAAAGTTAAACAATTCAGAAGTAGCGATATGCTGTGATGTTATGTTGTATTTTTTTATTTAGACACATGTTTACAAATACACTTACAAAACTTTAGAAAAATTTGAATTAAAGGGTTTGTAAACTAAGTTTTGATTACCCAAAAGCTTTAAGTATCCGCTATTTCTTAAGGGTCTAGCCGGAATGACAAACGACTCGTGCTTTTTGTTTACTTGCATAGACATGCTTGTTTCGTTTGTTTGTTTGTTTCATTTTACGCCTTTTCCCAACAGTATTTCAGTCATGTAGGCGGGAAGTTTCCAAACCATCGTTCCTGGAGAGTTACACCAGTACAAGACTACCTTCCTCTGGGCTAAACTACCAAAGCATCTCTTGGGGATCGAATCCACGCCAGAGAGGTAACTGGATTAGAAGTCATCGACTCTAACTCCTCGACCACGGAGGCGATATAACAATTCAAACTATACAGTTCTAAATGAGAAGCTGCACATTATTCGTACCATTTACTGAAACGTATTGTCCTGGAAAGTATCAATTATTTCAAGAATTATTCCTTTGTGAAACATGCGTTTTAAACTAAAGTACCTCGTATTTGCACAGTATCAGTTACTTCTCCTTAAACAATAAAATAAGATCATTTTGTTGTAGACAATGGCGGACTACCTTACAAAGAAGTATCTAATGAACGGTACCAACCAGGGAATTGCGTAATGGAAACGAATAGTTGTCAGTAATGAATTATTACCATTTAAGTTTCCGCTTAAATGACAGGTATCTATATAGATGACATTGCATAAATTCCGACAAGTATTGAAAATAAATTTAGCGAAGGCGTGTGCAGCTGTAGTAAATAAATAAATTAAATATATAAATAAACAAAAACAGAAGAATACTGTAAAATTAAATTTTCCGCCCACAATTAATAATGTATTCACAGTAGTTGAATTATTTAAGTTTGAGAATTAAGATATCTGAGAAAAACCTTGAGGGACATAAGAATAAATTGTCTCGAGACAGCGAAAAGTAAATAAAAAGCCAATGGGATCTTTGGCCGTTCTAGTGGCACCACTATCATCCTTGACAATTTCTGAAACTTCTATATGGTTTGTATACTATAAATAATTTTTATAAGAATATAATATCACAAATTATAATTTCTTCATGTGTGCATGCGTTTGAACAACCGGAACGCAAAAAATGCATCAAAGCAAAAATGCAACAAAGCGAAAATGCGACAATGAAAAAAAGGGGAAAAATGCAACAATGCAAAAATATGCCAATGGAAAAAAGAAAATAAATGCAACAATGCAAAAGCGCGTGTTATATATGGTAGTACGTCCAATTGGAACATCTCGGCTATTATCAATATGACGGAGATGCGATTTCTGTCAAGTCTTTATATAACGAATATATGATAATGCATGTTTCCTTTCTTTGAAGAAAAATGAAAATTTATAGATATACAACCCCCGCGTATACAGATACTATTAAATTTATAAACATCACGATTTTGGTTACAACCGAGCAGAATCAGCTTAATATTTTCACTAATCAGCGTCATCATTTAGGGTGGCTGACTTTAAAGTTTATAGTGCATGATATATACACATAGTTTAAGGCTATAAATTGAACGATAAGTGAACACAGTTCTTGAAAAAAAAGTAATTTGGGCGGGTATCATACATTCCACAAAGTATTTATGACAATATATAACAATTAAAATTGATTTCTTTGCTATTTGAAACCAAATTTGATGGGTAAATGAATATCTGAAATCGCAAATATTTCATTAAAAGTTTAATTCTTGATATTTTTGTTGTTATAAAGATAGTGTTTGATGTTGTTATATAATTAAAGTTAATAAAAGTAAAAAAAATAAGCTTACCCAATGCAGTTAAAGGCCCATTATGCCTCAGAAATGCTTTTATTTTTATGTCTCAAAATTTTTTTTTTTAATTTTGGTGTTTTTTACCTTATCCAAAAATGTTACTCATTGGTCAATTACATGTACCATATTTTTTTCATCTGTTGCTTTTTTGACAATAAGTACAGTTATAGTGAATTAGTATTTTGTATGGGAGTCAAAATACTACGTTGTTTACATTTTGCTACTTTTATGACAAATGAGCCGCGTCATGACAAAACCAACATAATGCGTTTGCGACCAGCATCCGCACAGTCTGATCAGGATCCATGCTGTTCGATAACAAACCCTATAACAAATAGAGAAACTGATAGCGAACAGCATGGATCCTGATCAGACTGCGCGGATGCGCAGGCTGGTCTGGATCCATGCTGGTCGCAAACCCATTATGTTGTTTTTGTCGTGACGCGGCTCAAATTATTTCACATTTATCATCACTTTCTTTAGGTAACAAGCATCCAACATTAAATAGTAAACATGTATAATGAACGCTCCTGCAAAAGTAATCATCAGTCGCGTTTTTTTTTTCAACTTTGGGTCATTTTGCAGATAAAAGTGATTATTCAAGTAAACGGAGTGAACGACGGATCTGAAATTTCTTACGTCCAGGTCAAATAAAAAAAACTAATCTTGAAAAAATTCCGGTTCCTTCATGCCAATAAACATCAGTGGAGTCCTTAAATTTCAACAGTCGGTGACTGTTCTAAACCTTATATGATGGGCGCGATACACGACAAGAATTGGGACTTCTAGGAATGCAGCCATGTCCTTTCTCATGACCATGTACTTTCATTAATTTTGACGATTAAATGGGAAAGTTGTGTATCAATTTGCACAGATGTGATTTATCGCCAATTATTTATTCAAAAATTAATGGACAAGATTAATACTCACAGCTAATGTTAATATGTAACAGAGCAGATTTATAAATATGCCTTTAACCTTTACCCAGCAAAATATCTTCAATGGAAGTCCAAAACATTCATCACTGTAGGGAAAATTTCAAATCCAGGACTGCCTGGCAGATGAATAGCGAGCAGTAGAGACCATGGCATAAATTCGGCAAGCTGAATCCTGCATTGCTATTGTTGCATGAGTAGAAGTTGTTGAATTCCGGTAAGAAAGGATGGACATAATACTTACTGAGAGATTTAATGTACTTGGAGCCACACTAGTTAGTTGATATCTGTCAACATATTAATAAATATGGAACATACATGTACGTGTGGGAAATAAAACTCCTTTAATAGCCTATATAAAGTAAGTATTTAGTAAGACCAGATATACCCGTTGATCTATATATAAGTATTTCATCGTTCTGAAATGTACCCTACGCTTCATGTTCACAGAAACAAGTCAGCGCCCGTAAATGTATAGTTCATACGGGCACACTAGACAATAAATCTGATGAGTGGGACATGTGAGAAATAAGCTTTATCTGCGAATGCCGTCCCTAAAATTATTAATATATCGATAACTAAATCAACATTGTGCAACTCAGTTTAAATTACGAAATTGCCGATCGGCCCTGAGGCTTTTCTTTGTACATTTCATTTCATCGACTATTTACTACCGATTTCATTGAGGAAAACAAAGTCACGTGATCTCCCATTGACGTCAATCGTGGCCTTTTGATTGACAATAAAAAGACCTACTTTCGCGCAGGTGCGTCAGGTTCGATAAATAAGTGTAACACGCCTTTCCTGTGTAATCTTTAAGCTATTAATGACATTTTAAGTCACAATTGATCTAAGTAACTGATACTTCATAGATATATAGAATAATATTAAGTATCAGGCCGTTTGTTTACATTTAAAAACAATCACGCGCATTTGGTTCACCCCTACAGGACTACTCCAATTTATAGTCGAATCTGATTGGATGCTTACTGAAAGATATAGTAGAACATACAGTTCATCGGTGTAGCGTACTCACGCGCTTATAGTTTGACAGTTGCGTATTGTTATTCTTTAAGATTTTGGACAAACTTGCACAGTTAATAGGAATAAGGGACTGTTTGACTTTTTATCATGAACAGAGACAGTGGTAGGATTAATTTTGTAAATGCTCCAGGGCTTCGGCCAGTGCGCTTGACAGTTTGCCCGACTACCGGTGGGCAGTACCAACTTTCAGTTTCACCGTTTGAGTCTGTGGCAGGAATTAAGTACACGCTTGCACGAAAACTTCGCTTACATGCAGAACGCATGAGCCTTTTGTATAAGGATAGGTATGCTTTTATTTTCTATCTCTTCCTCATACTTTCTCAATATTCTGCTGCATACTTTTGATATGCAACTTAGTGCATGCATTTATTGTTATATTTATGAATGAAAATTTTTCGTAAATGGTAAAATGCAATATAAAAAGCAAACCAAAAAATCTAGTAAAATGCAATGGCATTAACAAGCTGATTTTGCATTGAGGTCAGCATATCTGATAAAAAAAAAACAACAACATTTGATATTGATATTGAGTTTTTTCCCTCTCTCACATTCTGTAATTACTAAGATGCAGTTTTATATTTAGGGTACTTCCCAAATGAAAAACCATCTTTGAACAGTTATTGGATTGCTTATTTATGAATTGTTTACTTATATGATCAGATTCCACAATGTTTAGGATATGTTGTATATAACCTTCAATGGGCTCCAGTGAAACTGTCCTTAAACTAGGACTATTTAGTATTTAAAGTGATATTTTTAGGCCTGTGCACATATCAAGATGTAATTACTGTTAAATTGGCCTTTAAAAGTGAATAATATATAGTGCATTTTATGCATTTTATTACATGAACTTTAAATTTGCATAATTATAATACAAATGTTTCAAATAAGCACCTCTTTGATACAACAAACAAGAAAAGCATTGATGCAAAGCATCAAAGGGCGACGCCAAAAGAATTTGATCCAGATTTGCACGTAAATACTTAACAAAAGAGCTGTACTTTATAGCAGTACCATTACATGTGACCTGGAGGCTAGGGCCAGGTTAAGTTGAAACTTAAACCAAAAAAGAATAGACTCTGTCTTGCCAAGATGCAAAGGCAATTTATAGTCAATTAAGCAATCTTATAAGACTCATGTTATAAGAAAGAATTTCTTCAGATTTAATTTATGAGACACAAGGATTCCTGAGTCATCAGCATATAATCACTGGCACGAGTATCGGACCTGGGAAGAAAAAATATGACCAGATGACCAGATTGATAAAAAAAACTGTGTTTATAAAAACCAAAACAAAAAATGTAAATAATGATCCCCTTTAAAAATATACTATCAACTTGAAGTATATTTTTAAAGGGGGTCATTATTTACATTTTATTTTGGTTGTTGACACTTTTAAGATGAACACAGGTTTTTTTTATCAATCTGGCCATATTTTTTCATCCAAGGTCTGATACTCGTGCCTGTGCATTATAATAAAAGCTTATTGCTTAGGGTTGAAGACATGTAATTGACATATATTAGACATAAAAGAGGACCTAAAATGAACATCAGGGGGACAGCATAGGTACTCAGAGCAGTAGTAGAATAAGTACCAGCCACATCAACCAGCTACTATCAGAGATAAGACTTAAACCATGTAAGAATGTCATTATATATGGCAGATGCTTGAAGTTTCATGAAGAAGAAGAAAAACAACTTCTTCATGTGCAGGATAGTGTGTTCAACTGTATCAAATGCCCTTTGTAGATCTAAAAGTATCATGCAATACTGCCTTTGTCCATTTCAAATAATGCAATCTGTTAAATGAATCAAACATGTGTCAATTGAAAAACCACTTCTAAACCCTGACTGAAACTGCCTGACCATGACTCAAACCCATGACTTTCAGAAGACCAACTGAGCTATCCGTCCTGCTACACATTTTCTCTTTAATAATGAAACAGTTCTAAACCACAACATATTTCCCCACTATATCGATTTGTGTTCGTGAATTTCTTATGTTACAGAGCATAGGAAATTGAACTCATGCTTATATGCAGTCATAGGATGAGAAAAACTTTGAGCTTGACCAGAACTCATTAACCTGTGACCAACATAAGAAATTTTATGAAGGCTGATTTGTATTTTGCATCAAGGGCACCGGGCAAAAACATGAAAATACAACAAACAAACCACTTTGTGGTAGATTGTATTTTCATGTTTTCATCTGGCGCCCAGTTACTTTTTGTACTATGTTGGTTTTCATGTGGCACAAATCACCCACTATAAATTTAGTGCACAAATTTATTCAAGGGCAAGTAACAATCTACTCTATGTACAGTCTGTTGTCGCGTTGACTCAGGAGACCTGGAGGTTGAGACCGGTGTCTCTTCATTACAAATAGATAAGACAGAAGCTGTCCTTTTCAAACTATGCACATGTTATTATGTTAAAATTAGAATAACTATTCAGAATATGATTTTTTGAGACTTTATTAATTATATTGCTTGATCCAAGGACATTTTCAATCAATACATGTATAATCATTTATAACTTTAAATAAAAGTCTCATTCCTTTAATGATAATGACATAACTGTAACTCTTCAATGCAGAAAAATTATAAGTCTCAACATATCAATATACTACTGTCTAAGATATACATGTACATGCACATAACATTAATAATTCCCAGTTTATATTAAATAAATATGAAATCCTAACATTAACATTAACATGCTTTTGATGACCTTACAACTGGTGAATTATATACAACAAAATAGTATTATAAGTAATACCTAAGATAGACAGAAAAGAACAAATAATTTAGTAAACATAAGTTACTTCCCCTTAAAATAAAGAAAACCTGAAACCCAAAAGAACACGATAAACAGCAAAATTATGAAATGTTGCAGGTTCAATTTTATCAAGCCATGCAAATTAATGGTAAAGTATTCATAAAAAAATAGATGGCCATGTGTCAGCAGTAATTGCAGAAAATCGGATAGCTTTCAACATCCAGATACTGGTACACTTTGTAAAAACAACCATTCTGCGCAACAGATAAATGTAATAAGGATAAAATCAATAGGATAATCGTTTACAACAGTTCCATTACCTATCCTTATACTCAATTGCAGGTGAACTTTCTTCTTGTAGGAAAATTTTGAAAATGTATAAATGATACGGCTTTAATCTAGACCACAACGATATTCGAAATCCGGGTTTTAGTATTGTCATTAAAACTAAGGGACAAGCTGTTAAACTTAACCCGCAATTTCGTGAAAATAATATCACAATGCACATGCTTTTTACATAAAGTTATTAAATACAAATATAACAACACATTTGTTTACTTGATTTTTACGAATCAAAATAAAACTAATTTACACAACATGAAATTAACTGCTAATAATAACAGCTCCTTCCATAGGCAAAAATAAAAAGCGTTCCATAATAGACGACGCCGCTCACCGGCGTCGCCAATAAATGTCATAAGAACATGACAGACATCTGTCTTATTGGGTCACTATATACATTGTAGTTTACAGTATTCATAGAGCTTAAAAGAAAACACCTATAGTATGAACTGCAGAGTTCTTTGCATTTATAATGCAAACACCCCATGGCTCCACTCTGATCATGATATACATATGTACATGTATTTGTGTCTCTCACACTCATGTTACAATGATAACATGATGGCTTCCATTGTGGTTCAGGCAACCAGGTGGCAGCCGTTGTGGTTCAGGCAATCAGGTGGCTGCCATTGTGGTTCAGGCAACCAGGTGGCAGCCATTGTGTTTCAGGCAACCAGGTGGCTGCCATTGTGGGTCAGGCAACCAGGTGACAGCAATTGTGGTTCAGGCAACCAGGTGGCTGCCATTGTGGTTCAGGCAACCAGGTGGCAGCCATTGTGGTTCAGGCAACCAGGTGGCAGCCATTGTGGTTCAGGCAACCAGGTGGCTGCCATTGTGGTTCAGGCAACCAGGTGGCAGCCATTGTGGGTCAGGCAACCAGGTGGCAGCCATTGTGGTTCAGACAACCAGGTGGCTGCCATTGTGGGTCAGGCAACCAGGTGGCAGCCATTGTGGGTCAGGCAACCAGGTGACAGCAATTGTGGTTCAGGCAACCAGGTGGCTGCCATGTGGTTCAGGCAACCAGGTGGCAGCCATTGTGGGTCAGGCAACCAGGTGACAGCAATTGTGGTTCAGGCAACCAGGTGGCTGCCATTGTGGTTCAGGCAACCAGGTGGCAGCCATTGTGGGTCAGGCAAGATATGTTGTTATCTGCGCATCAGTGCAGTCTGGCCAGACTCTATACTGTTAGCTGACAAACTTCGAATTTTAACCTTCATAGATACAGATATCCCCAAAAATGATAATGGACAACTCCAAAATAGAAGCTGGACAGGTCCATTTAAGAAATTATAAAGACATTTTATTCCCAGGCTCTGATATGACAGTTGTACATTCAGGCCTAAACCCTGGTTGCATGAACACATTTCTCTCTATGTCTTCAACTTAAATTAACTGATTTCAAGTCATAGAACTTCACTGTGAGTTTTGCTTTAAAAATGTCGAAATGAATGCCTGCTCAAGTTGGACAAGCTGACCTCACAATATGATGTATACAGAGATTTATAGGAAGTCAATGAGCTGACACCTGCAACCACTATGTCCTGTGTAGCTATTATTAAAAAGGTTGTGTGCCAGGAAATAAGGGAATACCCCAAGTCTCTTATATGTTTTAGCTTACCGAGCTATGCCATCATACGTTTTGTTTTTTTTACCTGCAGAAACTGAAAATTTCAAAATAGTCAGGTGAGTCAGCTATGTGACAGGAATTTGTTTATATTGATCAGATCTACTGTTATGGTACTATGGACACAATAAGTTAACTACTTCATTTAATATTGAACAGCCATTCTATACATAGAACTGGTTCGGGGTAAGAACTGGAACAAATCATTCGTTTTTTCTATTTTCTGAAACACACATTGTTATCTTGTGCAGTTTCAAAATAACTCGAAATATTATAAAGGTCAGTTTAGGAATATGCATGTACTTACATGTATTCATGTTAATATTTTTCATTTTGCATTTTTTTTTTAAAGTTTTGACCATATAAGCTTCAAGTTGAGTTTAATATATATATAAATATAATGTATATATAAATATCTATACTAAAAAAATAGTGTTTCAAAGAATTTATATATTTCTATGAAATGTGTTAAAGTTATTTTTAAAACATATCCAAGTTCTTCTTAGAAATGTGTCAATTTTTCCTTCCGGTACTTTTTTT